TTGTCGCTTGCAGATTTACCTATACTTCTTCAACCCTGAAGATGGGGGCGATACGTTCCTCCGAAACGTCGGTTAACACCACATATACACGGTGCCAAATCCCAGAAGACTGCTTTCTTCATAGTCACCGCCGTGAAAGCCTCAAATCTTACAATCGACTCATAGATGGCGGTAAGGTCGTCAGCCCTACTCGCCGACCGCCCTTTAACCCCAAGAACATTCCAAGATTATTCCTGGTACTCATTTCTGTTAGAGGCTGAGTCGACCCCAGGGTCATAGTGCGGCTGGAAGGATTAGGTCAACTGAAAAAAATCCAATGACCTCATCGGGATTTGAACACTAGACCTTCCTGCTTGTAGCATAGTGCCTCTGCCAACTACGCTACCGCGTGCCCCCAGTGTACAGTGTACAGTTAAAAGGTGCGTTCGGCAGAAGAATTTATGTATGAAGTAATTAAGGCTACAATGAACTCTTCCTTTATAATAAACAAATATTAAATTAATATTAAACTGTTCATTGTTAGGTAACAGACTAGTGAAAAGTCAAAACTATAGGTCTATAATGAATGATAAATAATCAGTTTTAAACCCTCAATGTTCGCTGTTGCTATATACAGTAAACACAGACATTTCTTCCGCCAGTTTTCGAACGGTTTGTAACCGGAATGTTACTTTCTTCATCGCCAACCAATCTGTAACCATTGACTACATTTCTGAAAGGCCGCGCCATAGCTCAAGCGGTTAGTCGCTGGTTCCCACCGCGGCGGCCCGGGTTCTATCCCGGGTCTGGTCAAGTGGGATTTTTGGTGGACAAAGTGGCGCTGGGGCAGGTTTTCCCGAGTTTCCCTGCCAATCTTCATTCCACCAATTGCTCCAGAATCACCATCACCTATCATCTGGGGCTGGTACAATAGGCCAGAAGTGGCCGCAGTACAAGGGACTTAGTCCCATCCCACTAGCACTATAAAAAATATTTCTCAAAGAGATTTATTCCTATAATTGGCTGTAATTAATTACAATTTAATCTAGGTATATGAAATTTGAAACGAAATAAACTATAAACCTTCAAATGTATTGTAAGATTTGAGGTTTTCACGGCCGTGGCTGCATCCACCTGCTCACGTTGGTTCCTCGCTCCCGGATTTTTCTACCCTGAAGATGGAGGGAATAGTTTCCTCCGAAACGTCTCTTCACACAAGATCTACATGGCGCCACATCCCAGAAGACGACGTTCTTCAATTGGATGTATTGTATATGAAACATTTTCTGTACAAGAAAAATTACATACGGTCAAATTTTAATTACACATAACATAGAATCTGTCATTCATAAGAATAGGAATAAGAATAAAGACAGTAAGATATCTGAGGCCCTACAAATGTACGCAATAGAGAAGCAGCCTTTGGAAGTTCTACTCGCATCAGCTCCTTTATTTTGTCGCATGCTACACTCTTCACAGTGGCCACTTCGTTTTCTCTCACACCGATAATGCTATTGGTACCATGAAATTATTGATAGTAATAAGTTTTAAATGAAGTGTACGCGTACAACACGAAATCAGATTTGTGAATGGAAATCCTAGTGGTTAGAGTTCCTGGCTACAGATCCAGAGGTCCGGGTTCGATTCCCGGTGGTACCACATTTTCTGAGAAGCGGTTCGTCTGGAACGGGGTCCACTCAGCCTCGTGATGATAATTGAGGAGCTATTTCAATTAAATAGCGGCTCCGGTCTAGAAAACCGAAATTAACGGCCGTGGGGATTGGTTGCACTGACCACGTGATACACTCTATCCGCTAAAGTTGGCACTAACTTCGCCGACAAACGGCGGCCGCTCGGTCGGTATAGTTCGCTTGAGGACTAAAATCACAGAGATTGTTTTGTTTTGAATGGAAAGCGTGACTACTGTAAGCGTTCACAAATATCTCACTGAAAACAAGCGCATAAAAATGTACAAATAAGAGCAGTGCCATCTACCGGTAGAGCATCAGTAAGCAAGGTACACCAATAAACGTGAACTATATCGGATATCTATGGGAAAACGTACGTCCTTCAAATGTTAAGGTAAGGCTAAATGCTGAGTCATTGCCCTTGTCTACTGAGCCGTTCTGTTTGCTGGGTTCAGGGACCGTAGAAGAACGTCACGGCGTACATCTTGACGTCTTGCGACGTCACGTTCCCTTTCTCCTGATTTCTGACGTGCTTCCTCTTGGCCCTACTGGCTTTGTGTCTTGCCCTTCCCAGACAAGTTTCGGTTCGAGTGCGGTTGTCATGTTATTTATCGCTGTTCCCCAAATTCAAGTTTTGGACGTTTCGGGATCGGCTGAATCACGGCTGTGTCACGTGCACCAAAGTAAGTTTTCTGTGGATATTTCTTGTTCTCACGAATGGAGATGTGTTGTGTTACGCTGCATTGTGCCCTGTCTGAGGCCCGTGAAGCCTGTGTTATTTAAGGTTGACTTGTTTCCTTTACTTGAAATATTTACTATTATTTAGAAGAAGCATCAGTCTTACACGATATTGGTGTATACACACCACATAATAATTCTGTATATATTGTATTTCATGGCCGAGCCTGTATGCTCAATTTGATTATTTGCTTTTTATTACGTCAGCCTGCTATTACATACTTATTGTCTGTTTCCTTTTCCGCTTGTTATTCTTTTGTGTATTTAAGTTTAGACATACTCTTCAAGTGTGCTTTTTGTTAATAATTACTTCGTAAAAGGTAAAATTGTGCTTGTGCTTAACTAATTAAGCACTACACCATGAAGGCGTGTGGGGGAGTGAATGTATAGATCCACATTTTCTTGATCTCGGTGCTAGTTGGAGGTGAGTGGTCAGTTTTACGCCCCTGTCGTTTTAACCCCGGGGAAAGCGCCACCGGTACCCATTGGATAGGAGGCTGGGTGGACCCCAGAGTCAGTCTGGACGACGTGGAGAAGAGAAAATTCTTGACCCTACCGAGACTCGAACTTTGAATCCTCAGTCGTCCAGCCCGTAGCAGTCGCTACTCGCGCCATCCCTTTCAGTGTTAGGGCAAAGTCTAAACGTCACTCCATGAAGGTGCGCAGGAACACAGTGCCAAGTTTGTTCTTGTTCCGGACCTCGACCCAGGACGCAGCTGAGTAGCCAGCTTCACGCCCGTCCGCTTTATCTCTGGAGAAGGAGAATCCAAAACACTTTGTCCATGTCTATGCCCCTATTTTCGCTAACAAAAGAAGCGAGTGGTGCTCAGTATTATGTACGTTCCAGCCAACCATTTCCACGAAAATATATTGTTATCCTGTGTAATATTAGTAATGTCTGTGTGCCTTAGACACACTACGAGTAGCCCTGTAACTTTATATATAAATTATAATGGTGACATTTTAACAGTTGACTTTCTGAAAGTCATATAGTTAGTTGGTTGGTTTGTTTGTTTGTTTGTCGTCAAAATACCTGAGCTGTAGATGCAAGTGATCATTTAGACTACACAACATGGCTTCCAATAGCTTAGTAGGGAAATGGCGGATGTTGTGTGGTAAACAACCAACTCTGTAGTTAAGGCCTTAACGGCTCGTAACATGTTGATTTTCTTGCGATGAGTAGTTATTAAGCCCCAGCCGAACCTCCGAGTTAGAGCAGTGTTTCTTAACCGCTGGGTCGCGGCCCAGTACCGGGCCCTCGTCTTAAAGAACAAAGAATTTACCGGGCCGCGGCCTGGCAAAGGATGAGGACCGCTGAGCTAGAGGATCAGCAGTTGTCGGCTGCCCGCACCTACCTTACCTATAGAGAATTCGCTTGCTCCATACCCTACCTCAAGAAGCACCATTCTGTGGTAGTAAAAGCCCCATTTAACATTGAGGATGAGATGGGCAGGGCATATAACACGAATGGAAGATACGAATCACGTAAAGAGTTTTGGTAAGAAAACATGAATAAACGATATATCTTGAAAGATCTGGAGGAGATGGAAAGGAAATATAGACAAGCCCGTCAATCTCCTCACGCGTACCACCCTGCACGTGACAATAGATTTGTTATGCTGAATTTGTATAAGAAAACATATGAATTTTAATTTCGGAAACGTCAAGAATAGAGAGTAGGAAGGATACAAATTTAAAATTGTATAAGTTTATGGCTGTGCCACCGTCTTTATATTGAAGTGAAGCATGGAAACTGAAGGAGAGGGAATGCAATAAAATTCGAGCAGCAGAACGAAATACCTAAGGGCCCTCAATGTTTGTACCAGGATAGACCAGTGAAAAATCTAGGATGGCCGAATTAAGTTGGACATCCTACTTTTATGTAAAGATAATTACAGAACACGGAAACAAACGTTATTCGCAAAAGATGGAACAGACTCGTGTTCCACTTCAAGCCAATGAACAGAGGAACACGAAGAATTTGGAAGGAGAAATAACAACGTTAGAGGACGGAACAAGTGATTCCGATAATCAGTGAATTGATGATGATTATGACATTGATTTAAAAATGAACATAGATCATTCTTTTCCATAATGGTAATTCATTAAAGCGCACCAATCTCTCGTTCATGAGGTGCTAATAGTGGCAAACAGAGGAAACAACTTCCTTGACACCCCTGTATTTGATCTTCTGTGCTAGATACACAGATCAACGGCATTGCACTGTTTGCGATTTGTCTCAACTCCTATTGAACTCCCATCGGATATTACTGGAACTGACATGCGGCCCCCAATTCCTCTCCATTGCCGATACCGGGAAATGACCTGTTTTACGTTTTAAAGCTGCTGTGGTTATACCAGACGGTAGCTTCAGTGTTCAGTTTATTGTTTTTTTATTATTCATGGTGGACTCAGAAGACTTCATATGTCCTTAACTTAAAGCCAACCCTGAACGAATAACAGCAAGCCTGTCGGTTGGCAACAGTTTGTAAGCGTATCTTCTGCCAAGCTTTTGACATTTCTTTCCTTAATTTTTTGTTTCATTCTTAATGGGGTGAGACTGAGTCCACTTGGTACTGCAACCAGTATTGGCCTATTGTACCAGCCCCAGATGATATGTGAGGGTGATTGTGGAGCAATTGGTGCAATCAAGATTGGCAGGGGAAACCGAAGTACTCGGAGAAACCCGGCCCTAACATCACTTTGTCCACCACAAATCCCACACGATCTGACCTGGGATAGAACCAGGGCCGTAGCAGTGGGAAGCAAGCAACTGACTGACTGAGCTATGGTACCTGTTAAAATTCTTTTTTATTATTCCGATAACTTTTCAATGAAAGGATGCGAAGTCGTGGTCTTCACGTTCGTCGTGATGTGCCTGTGCAACTGCTGCTGCAAAATTTCTCATATATATACATAAAGCTATCAACACAATAAATAATTAATCAACTTATCACCACATTTGTATCAATTGAGTTTATTAACTGTGTTAATATTACGCAACATATTCTGGCTCACTTGGAACCATCATCAGGCGATACATTATTTAAAGATATAAAATATTTCATTGTAATTATAATTACTAAGGATCCATATTACAAATTATATTGTAAAATTATTTATAGAATAATGTAATTTAATTTAATTGATATTGCTATTTCCACAGGTCAATTTATTTTTATATTCCGGTTGTATTAAAATACATCGTAGTGTCAATCTTGGTAAAACTAGCACTTGCAATCATGTTGGATATGATTTTTAAGTACAATTTCTTTTTTCTCATGATTTATTTGGGTGCTAGTTCGCCAGGAAATTTTCAGTTCTTGCAAATGGTTCATTTTAAGACTGACGAGGCGTGAGATTGCTTGTAGTTATTGCAACCTATTCCCGTCTGCTTGCAGCGGTACTGCTGGATGTTTGTGCCCTCAAACGTTGACGACTGGCTCCATTGTATGGGGCAGGTGCGCGACTAATGTGGGGACAATACCACCCTCTGTTTGCTTTACCCTCGCCTGTCGAAACTCGCAACGCGATGACCATACAGACTGTAGAGGAACAGTTACCTATGTCCAGCCTTCCGCAGGATCGCGGGGCTACACTATTGACTTGGTAATTGTGTTTATTCTTTTAACAATATATTTACGACAAGGGTATTTTGTTTTCGGTTGCATACGATTGTGTTCAGGCGTCTTTCCTACAGAAGACTCTTACACTGTCCCTCTCAAAAAAAAAAATGACCAAATTATGCATATCTCTCATGTCGATACACGCGAAAGACTGTATTTGTGCAGAAGAAGCAGAAGGAAATTTCGCCTTAAATTTACTGTGACAATTATACCGACTCGAAATTGCGACGAGCATTTTCCGAAATGAGCGTATCTTCATCTGCGGTGCAACGGTACAGCCAGGGCAGGGCTATACATCCCGCGCTACACAAGTCTCATCATTAGCGCCGGGTGACGAATACTACACAAACAGCATATCTGTAAGAATTTCCACGGATCATGATGCAAGTGCTGATAACATTATGCAATTTGCACTGGCGCCGCTCTTGCCGACGCAAGTGGTAACATTCCCAGGGCCCGTTACCTGTCGGATTATCACAGGCCGGAAGTGCAAGATCAGCCTAGATTCTGGGAGACAGCCCGGAAAGAAAAAGTTCTTGTCCGCTGGGGCAATCGCTCGGCCCCGAATCCTAATCCCTTTTAATTCACCACAATCTGCCGTTATGATTCGAGTCCATCTTGTCTTTTGCTTCAGTTATAACGTCATCTTCATGAATCATCACTTGCATTTGCAGCTTCACTGACAATTATCGTGTTAGCGTGATCTGAACATTGGTGTTCTGTTAGTTACTATAGGATTCTGATGATGCTGTATAGCACAGAGAGATATTGGGTTTTCGGACTTTATCCATCGTCCTGGTTTTAAGATAAGAAAAACACGACGTTTCGGAAACTGGATCTGTTAACGTCCTCAGTTGAAGGAAAAACGCCTATTCCGTTGGGTCCCTTAGAAAGAGCTAGCCTCAGTCACTGGACCAGTGAGGACCTGAGGACGGAAACAGAACCAGTTTCCGAAACGTCGTGTTTTTCTTAGTTATCTTAAAACCAGGACGATGGATAAAGTCCAAAAACCCAATATTTCTGATTGTTGTTCTCTGGAATGTGACGCCCTGTAGTCTGGTAGAACGTTACCAACATGCCTGGGGATCCGCTGCCTGTTTTCATAGTAACCTGGACGCTACTACAGGACCGTAAATACCAGAAAACAACGATGCCGCGTGGTTACACATTTCCTTCCCTTACCAAAACTGGTTTACATACCGGAGGAAAACGCAACCCGCAGAGGCTTATTTAGAGTATTTCTAGTACCACATGCCTCTAAAAGTACATTCTGTTGCTTACATTCGTCGTGGTTTTAATTGTTTTTGCTTTGATGGTAG